AGGATAGGAAACAGGACCGGGGAGATGAGGAAAAAGAGGTCGAAATTTCGAATGATTTTGCTGGAATCCAGCACAGGAATGTCAGACTCTGCCACTACCAATAAAACTGACTATATAGAGAAATAATGTAAATACATTGATTGGCTATTGCTGACAAAATTTCAACCATCAAATTGGATTTGATTTCATGACAATGTTAATTGTAGCAACTTTAAAGCAGCTACAGTCAATATTTTTGATAGCTGTGAATCAAGTGACAATGTGAAAACAACGTGACAATGAACGGGCTCGTAGTGATGAACCTACAGGGAACCATCACCTGATTGTGCAGCTTCTCTAGAGCTTCATAGTGACTTTCAGCTCTTTGTTTAGCTGACTGGCTCGCAAATCAACTGTTTTGGTTCACTATCACGGCTCTCATATGGTTGTTTTTTTAGCTTTGTTTCATTAAAAAACAAAACTCACTGTACACTACCTGTCCAGTACAAAACGTCAGACAGACACAGTTAGCAATTATAGCTAATGAACACAGTCAATACTTTAGCAGCTAAAGAGATATTTCACCTCAGGAGTTGGTGGAGACCAAAAACCGAGTTAAAAGAGAGAGAAAAATGGAATAACATTCATCCAAAAAAATTATAATGTTGCTCTATCTTATCAAGTTAAAAGGTGATATTGTTCACAACTTGTTTCTGCTGCCCCCAAGTGGCCAAAACAATTACTTACTGCAGCTTTAACCAGAATGTATTAACAGTATTAATAGAATCTTTAACTTAACTTAAGCATTGTGTAATGCACATATAATGTAGACAGAAGTTATTTTTAAAACCTGGCTTCGGTCTTTCAGTCCTCCGCAAATAGAACTCCAATGCAAAAACTGTGACACAGCGACACTGACGATTCAGCAGACTCATGTTCAGCTTTAGGATTGATCAGGCCGAACCGACTGAAATGGGAGACGACGTGTGCAGCTGCTACCTGCTTCTACTTGTAAAATCAGGACATGCAGCTTACATCTTCACGGTAAGATGAATTGCGACGATGCCAGTCTGCCAATCATATTGTTACTTTCATCAACATTTTCTACAGGTCTTGTTTTCGTTGCCAATTTACAGGTCAAATGTCAGCATAGGTGAGCGTAGTCGAAGCTCAGACAGAAACTAAACCCGTTCTTCAGTTCATCCATCACACACGCAGGCTTCAATGGAAGTGAATGAGACGACGATTAAATGTCTTTTTTTTTTGCACTGTCTTTGGTGCAAAGTAATAATTGCTGCAATGTTTCCCTCACATGTGATCGCATGTCAGCCAGTCAATCAGTGTGGCCCATGAGATATGTAAATCTCCTCCATGTGATCTCTTAAGATCCTTCTATTTAAAAAAGAAAAACTGAAAAAATCCTGGAAATTAAGAGGCTTTACTTTGATTTGAGACGTGACGAAGGACTCCCGCTATCAGATTTATCATTATTTGTGAATCCTTGATGAAAAGGACGAAGGAAGGATGGAAGAAGAAGGGGAAAAAAAGAGTAGGAGAAGATGATGAAAGAAGCAAAAGCAGAGAGAATAAAAAACGAAGAAGAGGAGCGATGGAGGGATAGCGTAGAGATATTAATGACTGCAGACACACAAGAAGTAAGAGAAACGAGGAAATGCGGTTCGCTGGAAGTAAGGAAGGAAAGACGAGTTGGATAAAGCAAGTGGGGGAAAGAAGGGAAAGAACAGTATGCGGGGGGGGGGGGGGGGGGGGGGGTGCATTGTGCTGGACACAGCGGTGTGTGTTCAGACTGTGATCCCTTTGAGTCGGTTGTGGAAGAAAGGAGGGAGGAAGGAGGAGGGGAAGCACAGGCAGTTTTCCATGAGGCTTTTAAACCTATTTTAATGAGGAATCTTTCACTTTGTGTGTATGTGCTGCATTTAACACAAAAAGAAGGAAAAAAAACACTTCATAAAACGATGCAGTCGACCCACTGACGGGGGACTTAGAGAGAGAGAGAGAGAGAGAGAGAGAGAGAGAGAGAGAGAGAGAGAGAGAGAGAGAAGAGAGGAAGTGTTTCCTGGGGAGAACAATTAAAAGCTAAATATATTCAGCCTCTCGCCTATGGACTGCTTTTAATGTGATTATTGGGGTGCTGATGACGCAGAGAGGAGACGTGCACCCAGGGGAAACCCTCTGGCCCTGATACTTGGAGCTTTCTGAGCCAAGACGGAGGAGACAAAACAGTGAAGTGAGGAGGACAGACAGTGTATCAGGCTCCCTGTGTTCGAACAATAAATGAGGCATATTCGTTACTACCACTTTGAGATTAAGTTAAAGGTGCTAAATGCAAAATTCAGAGCGTATCTATTGCCTCAACATGGCGACGGATAGCAGCTAGCGGTGCTAACAGTGCAAACAACGGCAACAGTGCGGACAGAGCTAACGGTGTTAACCTGAGCGGGAACCCGAGGGTGGGCGCTACACTTCTACAACGCCGTACGAGCGTAGTGCAGAGCGGCGGCCGTCAGCTAGCCAGTGGGTCTAGCGCTAACACACACTGAAATGCACTAAAAGGCACGTGTGGCCGGTCCGACTATGTGAATGCAACACAGATGAGCTAGCCTGGCTCAGTCCAATGGTTATATATTTTTCTTTTAATCCGTACAACAACAAGAAGTGTAAAAAGTAAAAAGGGTAGACAACCAGTGGAGACTCCGGGACGTCCCAGCCAAGAAATAGTCTAAAACATAACCCTCCCAGCAGCAAACTGTCACACAACAGTTTTGTGTTGAGTGCTAAATAGCAAATGTTTAGCATGCTAAAATGCTGAATGAAGATGGCAACCACGGTAAACATTGGCATGTTTGCATTGTCGCCGTGAACATGTTGGCATGTTGCCAGCAATTATCTACTGTAGGCTACAACTTTACAGAGTCGCTAGCATCACGGTCGTGTTATTTAACTAGTTGTGCACATTGTATTTTTGTCTCCTGGTTGGACTTGATGGCTGGTTCATTGCTGGTGTGTTGTTTAGAAGACTACATATGAATGTTGTCTGTCCTTACCAACAGGGTAGGATCATTATGCTCTTAGTGATGGTGTAAGCGTCCCACGATAGTCCTTCTTCACTGCAGACATTTTTGACTCGTGATAGTAGGAAAAGCACAGGTGTTACTCATAACATTAACAACTGTTTCTACTCAAGTGGCCCAGTGAGCCATGACAGAGCGAGCCAGCATGCACAACACGAGAACCCTGAAACCGACAAAGCTGAATGGAATTAAGTCATCATTGGCTTAATTATTCACACCTGAGCCTCTTTTAGATTGTGATGTTTCCTTATTTTTCTTTATTCCTAGAGACACCTAAGAACAGCCCTCTTGAAGCTGCTGAGCAGATTAACTGTTCTCACACTTCTGTTTGAGAAACCTGTTTTTTTTTTTTGCAGCATTTGCAGAAATTTTATACATATGGTGAAATTCCTCCCACGGGACAGAGTACAGACATTCAAGATACACTAGAAATACTTTCTACACTGTGTGTCACACAGGCGCTCTGTGTTGCTAAGATCCCTATTGATCAAAGGCAGCTATAAATACCAGTCGTAATTATAGGCTAGTTTTAATCTGAGCCCATTTATGCTTTAGTAGTTTAGTGACTGAACGACACAGTGAGTGAATGAGACCACAGAGCAGTGTTTCCCGGTCAGGTTCAGATGCTGAGCTGAGCGGAGTCTCCAGAGACTCTGCTGAGCGAGAGGAGGGGGACAGATGCGAATCACTCATTTATCTCCATCAACTTTTTTTTTTTCCTTCGTCTCCTCTCCCCCCACGGTGTCACTCTCCCATGGGAGCTCCACGACCCATCCACCCCCTCATCCACATTGCTCTGAAATCCGCAGCAGCCTGGGTGGATGATCGATGACGCTGTTGATGATGATCAATAATGACAATACGGATGATGATTTGTAACATATAATGCTTTTTTAAAGTGCATTCGATGTGGTTTCAGATCACCAATTCAGTATTTTTGTGCATTTAAAGGGCCGCCCCACCAATTTTACACAACAGGTTCAGCTGACTCGTCGCGAGGAGCACTGCGTAGCCTGAAAAATAATCGTGGGACGTCTTCTGTGGCTTTTGAGGAAGCGAAGATTGAAGAACAACCCTGATGATGTCATAGTGATGTAACCGGCGTTACCTCAGCTTGAGTCTTCGTTACACGCCGTTGGCATGGAGTTTAAGAGATGCGGGCATATAGCACAAGGCCGCACAGGTGCTATTGAGTTGCATTATGGGAAATGTAGGATCCCGTCTCCATTTTTTAGCGACTTAAAGTCAAGGCATCTCGACCTCTGACTGCTGCAATGTACTTTTTTTTTTTCATCAGTCTCGTGTAAAGCCCTGCAACTTTAAGGAAGAGCAGTACAAAATAGCTGGAGTGAGACCTTTAAATGTAACACGCTTCACTTTGATAAACACTCGATTTCATGGAGTTCAACTGCAAGGTGGGAGGAGGTGGGGAAACCTCCACAATCAGCGACATAAAAAGGCTCCCATCATCTACCGATTTCACATGAATGAATCCACCACTGCTGTACTACACAATACAAGATACCTCACTGCGCAAAGGTGTTAAAGGCTCCGGGGAAATATCATATTACACTCTCACACAGGAGCACTCGCACGCAACAACCTTTAGGCTATTATTCATGATCTCCCCCTGAGCTGATCGGATCTCCCCTGCAGCAGCACATGGAGATTAACCCGGGAAGAAGATGCGGGACCCTCTATAACTTGCATATGAATACAGGGCAGAGTTAAGTCTAGAAGACCGGGGGGGCATATTACAAGACTCTATCTAAACAGCTGCTAAAAACCTGCATCCATGTCATCCTTTTGCGCACAGCGACTCGCAGCCAGAACTCATCCGAACCTTCCCGGCACTGCAGTGGAAGTTGTTGTGCGTGGTTCAGAAATACATAGTTGCAACAGAAACAATACTACTGGAATACTACTTACTCATTACCAGAGCAACAGGCAAGAGGAGGAGGCACGCAGAGTTCATCAGAGATGCCATGCTGACCCGACAAGTCGTCCCTCCGCCCTTCACAAGTTTCAGGGTGGAACCGGGAGAAGAAAAAAAAAACACGAAGTTGTTCTTCCAAAAGACAAGACTGAGCCCACGCTGTCCCGCTGCTCCTCGAGAAGAGAGCTGTCCCCGTCCTGGTGCAGCTCTGTACTCCGGTGTGAGCGTATCCACGGCGCGCTCATCCGCTCCAGTGAAGGAGGGGAGGGCGCGTCCGCGCCGGAGAGGAGGAGGAGGAATGAGGATGCTGCATTACAGTCGGAGAGAAGAGTAAACGCTTTCTTGAACGGTCAACGTTAAGGTTACCTTAAGTTTTTAAAATGAGATTATGGCTCTCTACGGTAAGCAGTTGAGTTAGTGTCATGTCAGCTAGCTAACGTTACATTTGAATTTGAGGCTTTGTTTTCTGCAGTTTTGTGTCGCCCTTGCAAAAATGAGTCATTCAACGTTAAGAGTAAGTTAACTTAGCTATCTAACTGCGGTCAAGTGGTCCGTCATCCGCAGAACGTTGGTCACGTCAGCCGGCGTTTGAAATGTAATGCGCGTCTATTCGTGGTGCCTCGGTATGGGTGCTTGGATCGCCCCTAAAGCCCGGAAATAGACCTATATTTCATCAATAATTTGCCCAATTTGTTAGAAAACAACGTCATTTTGTACATATGAAATCCAACAATAGTAAAATCTCAAATTACACTGCTGTATAATCTTTAATTGAAAAAGACACCAGTCTTTTCAAGGCTAATTAGAGGTAAGCAGTGCGATAGGTGCAACTCAAACTTCACTCAATCAATCATCCTCAGGTGCACAGTCCGAGCCAACCGCTTTATGCAAACATAGATGAAACCACTGGAATATAGTTTTGTATTAGTACTATTTGTTTTTTTGTGCTCTGAACTGATATCCCCCTTACATTACGTTTCACGTAGCAGTAAAATGTCATTAATTCTAGGGCATATCCTCACGTGTACTATCTTTCCAAAATCCACCCAAAAGGGGTTTGCACCTGTGTCTTTGCACCCAAGTGGGCCCTACAGTGCACTCTTCTGTTTATTTGATGGTAAATGCTGGGGGTCATTGTTTCCTATTGAACTGGGTCTCCACCATACAGTTTCATTTTTGTTAATGAGAAGGCAGTTATATTAGCTATTGTACACCAGTGGCGGGCCGTCAGGGCCTGCAAGGCCTTCTCTGCTGGCCTAAACAGAATCACAAAGCTATATCTATTTTATAATTTAATAATTTTTCTTAAATACACTACATGTATTGTAATTTATAAACATATTTTTCACATTATCTTATTTTCTCATTGCACAGCTACTGTTTTCCTCAGTTGCTCTGCTTCCAGTGCAGCTTGTTTTAAGTAGAGCTTTTATCCAATCAGATTTCACCTCTGTGTCTCTAGGTAAGAAGACAGGCCACAGGCCTGCAGTCTCTGAAGTGCATCCATGTGCAGTTTAAGTGAATGGGGACGATATTGTTGATTGGCATAGTGTTCAACCAATCAGATCTTTAGTTTGACATGTTGGGCGTATTCTTTGACATGTCAGCACCTGCAAGCCGGCCTATAATGATGTCAGCATTACATGCAGCTCATGTGCAGGTGCAGCTCTGCCGCGAGGTGCAGCGTGTGCTGTGATTGGTCAGTGGGCGAGCACGTGACTAAAGTGATAGCAGAACTGAGGTTGTTAGCAGTCAGAGTTGAAGTGGAAAGATATGGAAGAAATGATGGCATTTTTAGTTTTTTTTAACGTAGCTTTGTTTTTTTAACATCAAATGGCGGAAGGAGGAGAAGCTGATTTAGTGGCGGAGTTACTGGGAACACCTTTCTCAAGAAGGACATTTCCGGACAAACTGGACATTGTAAGAAAAGGCTTTGTGCGCCACTTTCAGTCGGCAAACTAAAGGTATCCCTGGCTGACGGGGTCGGAGAAGAGCTGCAAATTGTATTGCTGGGAATGCCTGTTATTTGCGACTGAATGTCTTGGTGTATTTGGTAACCTGAGCACTGCGGTCATGTGGTCCGTCATCTGCGGAACCTCGGTCACGTCAGCCGGCACTTGAAATGTAATGCTCGTCTATTCGAGGTGCTACGGTACGGGTGCTTGGATAGCCCAAAAAGCCCCGAAATAGACCTATATTTCATCAATAATTTGTCCAATTTGATATAACAAGTCAAAAACAACGTCATTTTGTACATTAAGTGAAATATAACAATAATAAAATCTGAAATTACACTGCTGTATAATCTTTAATTGAAAAGGGGCTCGGAAATTATAATATTACCTAATAATCATCTTTGATCTCTAAAAAAACATTTCCTTCATTGGTTAGCTAAAATTTCCATTGGAGTTATGTTCATGATGACCCCATGTATCTCCATGTCAAATGTAATGTAATATTACTATACAGTTTTTGAGAAAATTTGATGTAAAGTCAGCTCAAATGACATTTTGATATTTATAATTTCCCTATATTTGACATTTTATAAAAATGAATCCTTCGGAGGTTATGTCAATATTTCACTGGATTCTTGTTTATGACGACCCTGACTATGTACATGATTATTGTCTTAAAATATTACTGTACAGTCTGTAAGAAAATTAGATGTAAAGTCAGCTCAAATGACATTTTGATATTCATAATTTCCCTGTATTTTACATTTTATATAAATTAATCCTTAAGAGGTTATGTCAATATTTCACTGGATTCTTGTTAATGACGACCCTCACTATGGACATGATTATTGTCTTAAAATATTACTATACAGTTTTTGAGAAAATTAGATGTAAAGTCAGCTCAAATGACATTTTGATATTCATAATTTCCCAATATTTGACATTTTATAAAAATGAATCCTTAAGAGGTTATGTCAATATTTCACTGGATTCTTGTTAATGACGACCCTGACTATGKACATGATTATTGTCTTAAAATATTACTGTACAGTCTGTGAGAAAAGTAGATGTAAAGTCAGCTCAAATGACATTTTGATATTCATAATTTCCCTGTATTTGACATTTTATAAAAATGAATCCTTAAGAGGTTATGTCAATATTTCACTGGATTCTTGTTAATGACGACCCTCACTGTGGACATGATTATTGTCTTAAAATATTACTGTACAGTCTTTGAGAAAATTAGATGTAAAGTCAGCTCAAATGACATTTTGATATTCATAATTTCCAAATATTTGACATTTTATAAAAATGAATCCTTAAGAGGTTATGTCAATATTTCACTGGATTCTTGTTTATGACGACCCTCACTATGTACATGAATATTGCCATGAAATATTACTGTACAGTTTTTGAGAAAATTAAAGGCAAAATTAACTCAAATGACATTTTGATATTCATAATTTCCCAATATTTGACATTTTATAACAATGAATCCTTAAGAGGTTATGTCAATATTTCACTTGATTCTTGTTAATGACGACCCTCACTATGGACATGAATATTGTCATGAAATATTACTGTACAGTTTTTGAGAAAATTAAAGGCAAAGTCAACTCAAATGACATTATGATATTCATAATGTCCTCATATTTTAAACTGTTAAATAAAGATATTGACAGCATAAGATAATCCTTTATACCTTTTTTAACAGTTCCTTAAGAGATTCTAGTACATTTTCAATGGATTCTTGTTCATGATCACTCCGACTATGTCCATTAAAAATCCCATGTAATTTTGCTGTATGTCTGATGTTTTGATTGTCTATATTATTAAGCTTAGCCTTGGTCTTTTGTGTCATTTTGGACATATATAGCTCTACCTCCCTCTACGTACCTCCTTAGTGTGGTGGTGATCAAAGGCATTGTTCTAAAACTAATGTATTTGGATTCGGATTCAGTTGGAACACATGCGCAATTGTCAAGTTTCAAAGAAAAACTTTTAATGATAAAAACACAACATGAAATGCAAAACATATTTGACCACCCTCTTCACACAGACAGATATAGCAAGGGGGCATATAAAAAGAGACAAAAAACATAACAAATACTGTATGTGGATTTAATTGTTGCACAAACAGCATTTCCAGTCTTTGTTTTTTATTTTTAAAAGCAGGTATTTTTCCATCTGCAGGCTATCGGCATGGAACCATCTGTTACAGCTGTCACACTGAATCTGAAAATGGACAAAATTGAAAAAACTTAGTAAAGACAGACTTCAAACAGGAATTCACCCCAAAAGAAAACTTTATTTAAATTTGAAATTATTTTCATCATTTAATCAAATGGGACATTGTTATTGTCATGGTCATAGCTTTTACAATGTTGTTTTTATTGATTGACAATCAACAATAGGACAGGTCCTATATCTGAATTTGCCAGCTGCCATGGTGCAAATGCAAGGAAAAGAGCAAGGCAGAGTATATGGACATATCAGAGTGGCTTGGTGCAGATGATAGCAAGTGTTCCTTGAGATTGTGATGGACAATGAAGCCTCTTTGTCCTATGTATTTAGTTAATTTGAAATTGCACACATATTCCTGGAAACTCAAAAGAAGGTACACCAATCTTGTTTGCATTGCCAAGATTAAAACAAGAGGTGCCCTAGTGTTAGAGGAGTAAACCGCAATATCACTGATATGACTCTGAATGGTGAACTTTGTTACATGACATTCCCATTCTCTCTCTACCCTCATTTCCTGTCAGCCCTCTACTGTCCATTCTCAATTAAATCTATAAAATGCCAAAAGAAAAACTCAGATCCATTAACAAATGCACAAATACAATTAACTACAACAACACCTTACCCATTCAGTGATAGCAGATCCTGGAGTGGGTAGCTTTGTGGCAGAACACATGGCACAGTTGTTTTCGATGTCAAAAACTAATTTAGAAACATTTTAGATCTTTACTAGTACAATATCACAGTATAAATAAATATGAAGAAATGCTGTCACACACCTGATGCTTCGAGTATTTTAAGTGCCACGTGTCGACGTTCCTGCACCATCTCTTTTCTTGTTGTCCCAAAGGCCATGTTAGGTGTTTAATATGAATTAAAATAGAATATTTAGGTAGATAACAAAAAAACAGCTGGTAGGAGCAAAAGGAATATCCTCGTCTTGGCTGTTTTCTCAGATATTTTTCCTGGATATGTTGTTTTTTTCTGTCTGTTAGCATCAGTTCTGTTTGTATGTGTTGGAATTTAACAAATGAGCCTGCATTAAATGTATTTAAGTACTGCACATAAGTAACATTTTTACATTTACTTAATTTTGTCTTGTGAAAATTGTAAAAAATTGAATACAGTTTCACTTGATTATGCAATAAAACCCGCATTTTAACAAACATTCTAAGGGTAATACATTTACCATTTTGTAAAAAAGATTGTTGTAACACAAACATCAAAGGGTACACACAAATGTCAGGACAGTGACACACTCATGCCTACATGCAGACACACACACAAAACACAAACACATAGCTCTATCTTTATGCAATCATGATTAGGCTCATTTGTACTGTGTAGAAAGACAGACAAAATTGTTGCAATTGCTATCAAGTTTTATCTTTAATTGTCATTGTGACCACCCCTCCCTTCCACCAGGGCTCTGTGTCCTGTTTTCAGGTTGTCTTTCAGGATGGTAATCTGCTGCTGATGAGCCACACCTGGGCCTGATATAGGTCCCAGCTATAAAGGCTGACACTCTTCTTTGGCTGGGGGTGTCTCCTCTCTGACTCCTGGCCAGCTGTCTCTCCTCGCTGGCTGGCTGGCTGGCTGGCTGGCTGGCTGGCCGGCCGGCCGGCCGGCCGGCCGGCTGGCTATTTGTTCTTAAATTAATGTGTATTTGATTACTTTTATACTCGTCTTGTCTACCTCATGTTGTGGCCTTTTGAGCCGGATAGTGCTTAAGTGACTAATTTTTTAAATAAGCCATCAGGTAAAAAGCAAGCACAGCATATAGCTTAACAATACAACAATTTTCAAACATACAAACAATTCAGTTCTAAGTAACAAAATCTACTCATGAAGAAGCCATAGTGGCAAGAACTTTACCAGCATGCACAAAAAAGACAGCTAGCCACAGATAGTCTAAGAAACACTTTTCTTCTAAATGCTTAAGTACATTAAACTACAAACACACTTGAAGCTGCTGTAACCATAAACACAAGAGTTAAGGCTGTGTCTTTCAAAAAATGTCCAGGATTTTAAATTGGCCACAGCCCATATTCCTAGGCAGTACCCAGGACATCATCCACTTGCTATTTTCACTAAATAGTTCCTTTAGTCTCTTTGCAAGACCACTTCCGTGTCCAACAGATTTGTAGAGCCTCATCATATTAACGACACTGTCGAAGTCATGGTCCAAGTAAAGCATTGCCATGTCTTTATCAAGGCTTAACTGCACAATATATGACAGCAATTCTGTTGGCAGGAAAGTTTCTTGTAATCTCTTAAAAATGTGTATTTATAACCTGTCGTATAGGAAAATTCTGAAAATGAATGTAAATTGAGCTGATTTTGCCTTTAATTTTCTCAAAAACTGTACAGTAATATTTTAAGACAATAATCATGTACATAGTGAGGGTCGTCATAAACAACAATCAAGTGAAATATTAATATAACCTCTTAAGGATTAATTTATATAAAATGTCAAATATTGGGAAATTATGAATATCAAAATGTCATTTGAGCTGAATTTACATCTAATTTTCTCAAAAACTGTACAGTAATATTTCATGACAATATTCATGTACATAGTGAGGGTCATAAACAAGAATCCAGTGAAATATTGACATAACCTCTTAAGGATTCATTTTAATAAAATGTCAAATAAGGGGAAATGATGAATATCAAAATGTCATTTGAGTTGACTTTGCCTTTAATTTTCTCAAAAACTGTACAGTAATATTTCATGGAAATATTCATCTCCATAATGAGGGTCGTCATTAACAATAATACATTGACATAAGTCAATATTTCACTTGATTCTTGTTAATGACGACCCTCACTATGGACATGAATATTGTCATGAAATACTGTAGTTTTTGAGAAAATTAGATGTAAAGTCAACTCAAATGACATTTTGATATTCATCATTTCCCCATATTTGACATTTTATAAAACATAATCCTTAAGAGGTTATGTCAATATTTCACTGGATTCTTGTTTATGACCCTCACTTTGTACATGAATATTGTCATGAATCCTTAAGAGGATAATAAGGATTATGTTTTATAAAATGTCAAATATAGGGATATTATGAATATCAAAATGTCATTTCAGCTGACTTTGCCTTTAATTTTCTCAAAGATTGTACAGTAAAATTACATTACATTGGACATGGAGATATATGGGGTCATCATGAACAGAACTCCAACGTAAATTTTAGCTAACCAATGAAGGAAATGTTTTTTTTACAGATCAAAGATTATTTGTACAATTAAAGATCATACAGCAGTGTAATTTCAGATTTTTTTTATTGTTGGATTTCATATAATGCACAAAATGACATTTTTTAACAAATTGGGCAAATTATTTATGAAATAGGTCTATTTCCGGGCTTTTTGGGCTATCCAAGCACCCGTACCGTAGCACCTCGAATAGACGAGTATTACATTTCAAGTGCCGGCTGACGTGACCGAGCTTCCGCGGATGACGGACCACATGACCGCAGTAATTAAATGGTGGTCGTGATTGGAGTGAGCTGACTTTATAGCTTTAAAATTCAGTTGAGTGCATCACTGGAAGTCCATCAATCCATATTTTTCAAAATTTGCCACATTAATTCATTTATACACAAATACTGGGGTGATGTAGCTCAGGACACATGATACACTACACCAGACTGAGGAAAAATGGAATACTTAAATACCGTTTTTGGGACTGCCATTTTTTTCCCCCAGTGATGGGCTTCCCCTCTTCTCTTCCATTTCTTTGTTTCACATTAACTCTCGTATCCGTGAAAGAGAAAGACGACCAAAAGTACATCAACAGTTTATTTACTTTGATAAACAGTAAACTGAATACACACATACAGGTGTAATCGCATGCTGGAGGTATTGTTAGTCACCAATATGACATAATTTAACACTAACTGCTTGTGAATCGTACAGTGGAAGAGAGAGAGAGAGAGAGTCTCTATATGCCTGTGTCTTCACAAAACTACAGCACACCAGCAGCAGATTCACCAAAGTACTGGTTAAATATCTCTGGGTGGGCTTGATAAAACTGTCTGAGTAGGCGCTTTCTCTCCTTGGCAGAGATCTTGGTGTCCTGGTGGATGGTGCCCAGCAGAGCACACAGCTCCTGGTTGGTGTTCTTCTTTGTAGAGTCAGTGTCAGTCCCGCAGGAGACCGGCTGACAGAACGTAAAGCCTGAAGCACAGAGTAGAAACAAAAACAGCATAGTGTAAACAGGAAGGGGGACTTAAGAGTAAATGTTAACTTGTTTGCTGCAATCATGAACATTAGATTCAGTTATTAGCGCAAACACAACGTTGTCAAGGGAAAAGCGTTAATGCCCGCCAACAAATCCAGCAGAAATGAAGCCACATTAGCATTTAAGTTGAGTTTCTGGCCACCTGGCATATGTAGAGTGAATATACAGTTTTCCTTTTTAGCGCAATGTTGGTCTCCACCAACTCCCAAGGGGAATATGTGGCTGCTAAATACTCTGTAAAGCAGCTATAGTTGATAGCTTTTTTGTTAGATTGGTGTTGGGCAGTTTCATCTGAACTTATTTGAGATTAATACGAGCATTGAGAGTGAACCGGAACAATAAAGCTGTGGGGTCGTAAAATCCAATCAATGAGCTGAGGAGAACTGAAGAGTCCCGTGTTGATTCTCTGTGGGTTCATCACGCGACCCCTTCCACATTACAAACATGTTGCTTGATCTGCTGTAATCTAAAAACATTGGTTAGTGTAGCTTTTAAACAAGACGGTGTAACATGTAGTGTGGTCTGACCAGTTGGCTGACGGTATTTTCTACTTGTATTAGTGTTACATTACATTTGACCATTTGTCCCTTGTGACCTCAGTGGCTGCTGTTCAGCAAGTCACATAAAAGCCGTCTATAAAAAAAAAAATAAAAATTAAAGGACCTGGGCTCCAAGTAAGGAATATCTTAACAGCAACAGAATTTTGGAAGTTGACCATTCATCTTCATTAGCAGCTGCAGGCAATATTCTATTAAAAATGTGTCATCAGTTTGGGGCTGCTGACAAAATTTTGCCAACATGCGAAAAATGTAAAATAGGTTAATGTAATGTGATAATCTATAAACATGACAAATTTAAAGTTAACATCAAACCGTCTGATTCTCAAAGTATGTGTGAGAAATTGATCACAGCTCTTAACTTTAGGCAACTGTGAGAGTCTGCATCTTATTATTCAACAACAGAAGAAGAAAAATATTGCAATCTGAGCTCCTGGGCTTCAGGGATTGCAGAAAAAGTAAGAAATCATATGAAACACAGTTTTCTGTAACTAGACACAGGCTGGTATTGCATTAAATGAGAAATATCAGTGCCTTTATCAGTGGAAATAACATGGAATGTATGAGGTATAATACAATACACATTAGTAATGTGATGAGGACACACATGGCCACAGCAATGTGTTGAATCCCAGATGGTTGACTGGAGCCAGATGAGAAATTTTAGTTAATCCCTCAACTGTTCCAGGTCGTAAGGTGAATTAGAGCTTGATGGTGAAAAGTATGTTTTAATGGATCGGTATCTGTGTTGGGAGTGAAGCTGTACAGCAACAGATACAACCCAGTGAGATGGTAAGATTTCCTAAACATCTATTCGCCTGAGAAAGCAGAACGGTGTTTTTAAATCGCTGTTCTGTGTTGGAGCAACACTCGTTTACCAGTCACATCGGGCTGCTTCCCCTGAGCCAGGCTGGCCAGCTTGTCGCTCACTCCTTTGTGCAGGGACCCCGGTATCTAAAGCACAGAGAAAAAAGTCTGGGTGGCAAATGATTCAATGGCAGGAAAAACGGTTCGCCGATGAAATTGCGCTTCACAAAAATGATTGGAATTTCAATTCAAGATCCCCACTTATCATTTTCCCCTGAAGCCCTCTTTGAACGTCTTGGGGCGGCATTTTCTAAACTGTATTTTGCAACCCAATTTGAGCAATTTGTTCATGTAACAATGAGTTACAAAACCACTGAACATCAAAACTCAAACAAAACACTTTAATGTGCAGCCACAAACCAATAAAGCAAATCCTTGATTGACCTTTTGATAGCTAAACTCTGGTTTGCAATTAGAGGAGTCGTGCTTTTATTAGCCTACATTTAACCTGAAGTAACCCATACCAAGATCACTTCCTCGTTCACTTATTCACTTCTCTCCCTGTATAATACACACTCTGTAGTTTGAGCTACAGGGAGCAGTAAATCTAAATGTGATGCATTGCATTGTGGGGATGTTAGCAGAAAGTTACGTTTTGTTTATATATAGTGCATCTTCACTCTCACCTTTAAAAGGAACCCATGGCTTGTTTGAGTTGAGGTAAAAGCCAGAGGAGAGGACACTAAGAATGTAATCCGACATTCCCTTACCATAAAAATGTCCTTTGTGTTGCTGAGCATGAAGACCACCATCAGGTCCTCCTTGTCCTTTGAAAGAACCCTGCTGTGGAGGACTGCCCTGGAGAAAGACCTCTTCACCGCCTGTCTGTTCTCCATCTACACATTCAACAGCACATCGTTAATGTCAGACTACTGGAAAAAAAAAAAAAAAACGCAGGTGGTACCTGCGTCTTACTTCTCTGTCTAAAAACTGTCACCAGCTCTCACCTCCTTGTCCAGTTTTATCCCTTGCGGCTCGGCTGCCAGAGCCATGAACGTGAGCAGCGTGCGCAGCTCATCTCTGCAGCCAGGAGGCAGCAGCTTCAGGCACAACTGCAGCGCTTCGAGAGCCGCGGCCAGTTTAGCGTTCACTGGGGAAGGCAGGAGACGCGCAAATGTGATGGGATATACAGATTATTGACATTTAAGGGAGTGTGGAGATACAGCAGGGTTCCCACTCTTTTCTAGAGATTCTTTTCTGGGAGATTTTCAGTGACAATCTAGCTGGTATGACTGACAGACGCTAATAAGTTCCTCTTTGTGGGTCCACAACATGACGAGAGCAGCCTATTCAAAACACTCTTGAACATACTTATCCCTTTCAGATGGCAATGGGAAGCTCTGATAGCGAGCCTCGAAGGTCATTCGCAGCTAAAGTAAAATAGGAGAATGTTGAAATCATTTTCCTAAGACAACACAAGATTTTCCAGGAAATTTGACTTTCTCTCCTCTAATTTCCCAATGCGTTTTCAATGATTGGAAAATTGTTTTTCCAGGACGTGTGGGAATGACAAACAGGCTTAGTCACGATCCCTGGTTTGTTTTTACAGCGTGAATCTAAATAAGTGAGAAAATCAAGCTTTCTTGTGAGGAACTTTGGTTTCCTAAGCTACATTACAAAATCGTATAGTTTTTCTTTTTACTCTCAGTACACGCTGCAACACTTTACAAAGTTCGTACTGTTGCCTGCAGTATGCATTCAATTGGGACGTACTACTTTGACCTCACATGGGACCTTGAACTTTGACCCTCTTGCTCATACATCTGTTGCGCAAAGGATTGTGGGTCAGAATATGTAGAAGAACATCCTGGTATTTTTGGCATACTGCATTAACAAAAACAAATTCTGGCACCCTAAATAGTATGGTGGTATGGGTATTGGAACCATAGACTGTATACAGGAAGTGGATGTAGTCGGCGTGACATCACCCAGTTTGTGGACGGCTGTTTTGACCATTTTTGGACTGTGGAGGAGGGACGTAGAGCCGCTGTATACAGCTCACGTAGCAGTAGAGACCTGTCAATCACAAGGTAGTCACGCCCTAAAGCATACTCTACTTTATAGTCTATTTCACTCTAAATGGACCATCATCTCCTAAATGAACATCATGCTGTATTGTAGAAGACTTGAAACTAGAGATTGAGACCATAAACACATGTTTACTGAGGGAATAAATCAAGTGTTCAAGGAGTTGGGTCATTTTCTCATAGACTTCTATACAAACAGAGGAGTCGCCCCCTGATGGCCATTAGAGAGAATGCACTTCTGCATTGGCACCACTTTTCTGAAAGGTAGCTTGGCACCTGATTGGAACGCACAGCCAGTTCTTACCCAGCAGGTTGGTGATGGCCGTGTAGACGTCGGTCATTTGCTGCGGCAGCAGTGGAGGTCTGTCTGTGTGGCTGTAGTGATTCACCAGGGTCCCGTACAGCAGCAGCTTGCACTGGGCCAGCCCACTCGGGGAGAGATGAGGCCGCTCGTTGCTGTGGTGGACTGGGGTGGACACGGACCCCAGAGGCTGCACTGAAGCCAGAAATGCATATTTTTGACAGTGGCGGTCGTGTCAACAGTGAGGCCACCAAATGCAATCAGGTAGCGGCACTAGCCTTTGTGGGACAACCCAACCCCACCTACCCACCCACCCACCCACCCCCGCCACCCCTATTCCGATACTTATCCGAAAACTTGCCTCCGTCTTGTGAACTGCTATTGGCTGGCACTTGTTCACAGCTGTCCTGATCTTGTGGGAAACAGTGAGGCAGCTCCCTGCTCAGCTCCACCACTGGCTGATCAGGCAGGAAGTCCAGACAGTCCAGAGCTGCACTGAGCCACTCGTCCTCCCTGACGGATAAGGAGGAATACGAGATGATAAGCAAAAACAGGTTTCATTACATTAAAAGGGCACTATATGGTTATATACACTATATATACTGTTTGTACCCTGAATATGAAGCCAATTAGCTTAGCACAAAGACTGGAAATGGGGAAACCACTAGCCTGCATTCATAGCAACCACCTGAGGAAGCAGTGGGAGGAGCCAAAACGTACTGAGAGTCCCTGAAGACTTTGAGGATCTGCCGGTCCAGGTGGTTGCTGCTGTAGATCAGGTCCGGGTTACTGTGAGCCAGGAGGTTTGATGGAGGAGGGTATGGAGCCTGGCTGCACTGAAGCACCCCTTCCAGCAGGGGGAGCTCCACCAGGTTTAACAGCCTGAGCAGAGTCTGCTCCTGCCACACCTGGTCTACCACTGGGGAGTGGAGCAAGACATAATAAAAACAATAATAATGATGACAATAATAATAATAATCATGTTGTTATTATATTTATAATAACAAAGAGATAAAAAATATGTATATTTCTATATTCCAGGAAAACCAAAGACTTTTTTAGAAATAAAAACTATCCTAAATTTCAAATCAAACTACAGTATGACCTTTAAAAGGTGAGTGAGGAAAAGAGTCATCCCCGGGAGAGGATGAGTATATCTAGTAATGTGGTCGGGTCTTCGCTGGATTTAATTTATCTGAGGGGAAAATAAAATATGAAATGTGGCAGCAATTGCTGTTAGATACAAAGTATTTATGAAACACTTAATCAAAAGCTGTTAATGGAGGTAAAGAGGGAAACCTGATATAGCTTGCAAAGCCAATCATCTTAGATTGCTATTTTCTAAAGGAGAAGTACGCACAATACCAGGGTCTCCCAAAGTGGAATGCAGCCATCATTAATGTTATTAAATTCACCTGTGCTTTTCCTACTATGACTGTATTTATTTTTCTTCTATCTCTGTGGTGCACTTGTGTCCGATCAGGGTGTTTTCATGACCTTTGACCCCAGTGCATGCTGAGAGAGGCTCCAAGCCCTGTGACCACGAGTAAGTGTGTAACATTAGGAGAGAACCGAGTTGAGCTTCAACAGATGAAAACAGCGGCGGTGTAGAGTCTTACACGATTGAGGTAAAACGGTGTCCGTCTGCACTCCGCTGGGACTCAGGCTGTCCGCCGGAGGCTCAAGTGACGGACTGGCAGCGGCAGGAGTGTCCAGCTGGTTGGCTTTTGTGGACGTCTCAGCAAGTCTGACGGGGGTGGACATCTGAACATGTGGGCCGGTGGGACATGTCTGCTCCTCCTGCCTGGAATGCAAAAAACGGGGACAGCTGAGAGCTCATGCAGGTGACATGCGGAGAGGCATTTTAAGGATGCTCGTCACAGACTACAACTATAAGAAGTCGACGCAGTCGCCTTGTCGTCACCCGTTAGTTTGCGGATTACGAATTTGAAGCCTCGAGTTCGGGCATCTTGTTTTTTTCTTAACAGAACTGTTTAATTGTAACATTGGACTCACAGGGGTTTTGCATCAATGTGATGAAGTACTTTGATTCGTCCGGTATTCCAGTCACTTGAAAATCAAAACATCCCTATCCTGTAATTTTATCTTCAAAAAGGGACACTCGATTTCACACATCAAAGTGTGTTAAAGGTGAAAAAAGGTTTGAGTGAAGTCAAATAAATTGCCTTGAGTGATGTCACATCTTTGAAAATGAAATAAGTAAAATATATGAAGGTGTGGAGTTAGAAAGAAGTGAGCTTATCAGACCTCTGTAGCCGCTCCTCATCTCTGCTTGAGGCTACATTAGCCGCTACTAGCATAACACACACAAATCTCCAACTGATGGTGCTTGAGTTGCATTGTGGGTAACGTGGATGCCAGGTTTTGACAAGGAAGAAGAGTGCGTAGAATCAAAAAAGCTCTGTTAAAAGACTGGAACTGTTGCAATACTCATACTACTTAGTATGCCAGTAAAAGATGAAGCATGTCCAAAAACATAGTATTTCAAAAGCAGTATGATGGAAATACCAGGATGTGCTCCGTGTATGCTATGAAGGATTTGGACTTAGTACCTGTCTGAAGGTGCACTGCAGAACAGTCTCTGGATCCCCTGCACAAGCACACCTCTTTCCAACTCATCGACCGAAGGAGAACACACGCCTACAAATCTGTGTGTGTAGGAAAAGAAAAAAAGGACAACATATTAACACCACTGTTGATGGACATTTTGGACTGTGGCTTTAGGACTACACCTGGGTGTGTGTGTGTGTGACCTGTAAAGAGCACTCTTGCTGTCCTGAAACACATCCTGCTTCTTGACTTTGCCGAACACTCTGGTGCCCACCGCCTCAAACACATTGCAGTCCAACAGGGCCTGGCACACGCACGCCACTTTGTCCCGCAGCACGTTGGCACCTTAAATTGTTACCAAGCAGAAAAAAGTGGAAATGGGAAATTTGTTGAATGTCTTTTAGTTTGTGAATAATACAAATAAAAAAAACACAGTGATGAGAAGATGGCATGGGTGAAATGGAACCCTCAAATTGAAAATCCACCCAATTATTTGATATAAAATTTGCTACCAAATGTACTACCATATGTCAAATCCACTGCCCAGCACCCACCCACACACACACACACACACACACACACACACCCTCAAAGACTTTGTTACAGCTGATGTACTCTGCCACCACATCAACGGCCTCCGAGCCGAGGAAACAGTCGCCATGAGACTTGAGATGAACTCGACGACGTTTCACAGTCACAGAAGACCTGAGGTGGGAGATGAGGCCACTCCACGTGGAAGAGGACTGGGCTGGTCTACTGGACGATCCATGAGCTAAGACAAGGACGCAGAGACGATCAAAGGAGACATATTTTTACAGATGACCTGTGAAGTGTTGAAAATAAAGACACATAGAAGGGTGCTTAGGGAAGCACCTAACTAACTAACTGACTAACTAACTACCTAAAATCAGTGAGGGTTGACCACAACAACTTTACGGATTTTTTTTGTGCGTTTAGCTTATTGTAGTTGGCCAGGACAAAAGGAAAATAACCAGGCACATGAACGGGCCTCCATGACGGACACCTCTTTGAAATGCGTGTTTGATTAACTCACCTCGAGGACGCACACACAACTTTTCGGCAAGGTTTAACGCCGCGGCTCTTTCTTTTATTGTCGCCATGTCTGCCGGAAAATAAGTGGGGTAAGCACTTCTAGGTGGGCAGACAAGCAGGAGAAAGCAGCCAGTGAAGCACAGCACGTTGAAGCAGAAGCTCATTTGGTACATGCGTAACATTTACCCGCTAGATGGCGCCAAGGGCTCACTGATTTAACGCTGTGCTGCCTGGTCTCTTCTTCGGCTGATATGTCCGCCGTGATGCGCTTCATATGTGTAATGGAGACAATGCTGCCTTTACTTGATTGTGCGAGTGTCGTTCTTCTTGTCCCTTAATATATAAAATGGAATAAATAAGAATATAATAATGTTTGTTGTATATATTTAGGCACCAGGAGCTCAGAGCAGCACATATATCGGCTTCAAATTTTAGGCATGTGAGCACACTTGTTCTTTCGTGTTACTGACCTGAACAGACTGTTGGAGCTGCAAAGTACGAGCAAAAGGAGAAAACATTGAATGCCCCACAAAATTAAGAGCACTGCCTTCATGAAAACTGAACTTTTGCATGGTAATTTAAATCAGTTCAATTATACCTTTTTGTGTGTTTTTGACGACAGTATTTCAACCAATTCATTAATGTTTTTGAATAATTGTCAGTGTCCTCTCTGCCAATAGACTCGGATGCACGTGAGGCTCTTCTGATGCTATCCCGTTTGCCCGGAGGCACGAGGGCGCTGTGGGGAACCATTATTTTCGGCCTTACCGATTCTTTGCTTGCTGGGCTAACTAACTTTACAAAGGTAATGTCGCAATATAAACAAACCATCATTTTACCGGACTAATTATCTTAAAACAACATTCTTATTGCAAGGGACATCAATGTATTTGAAAACGATATTATTAACTTAACTTGAATAGACAAACTGCCCTATTTTATGGTTAATGTTAACAAATTGGAGGCTCGTGTTAGCTAACATTTCACCGTAGCTCGTCAGCATTAAGGTAGCCTTTGGTTTTGGCTAATGTTTAAGTCTGGTGGTATTTCCAAGAGGAAATTGCATTGTAGTTAGCTTTTCTTTAATTTAAGTCATCATTTAGATGACTTAAGTCAAAGTGAAGAGCCTAACACTATACCAAATTTATTTGGAGTATAACTAATTAATTCTGACTTGTTAGCTAAGGTGTTAGCATTAGCTGAAGCTCTTAATTGGGGCTTTGAAGCATACAGTTAGTGTTTAACTTCAGACAGTTTCACCGTCTTACTAAAAAAGGAGTCAAAGATGTGCATTATGAATTACAATAAACAGTGGATAACTCACAATGTTGAAAGAATATTCCAGTTAATTTTCTTTTTTTTTTAAAGAAAGTTTAAAAAAAAAAGAACTTAATTTAGAAAACAAAGTATTTCCTTTTGAAGAAAAAGTTTTCATTCATAAATGGCTTAATAGTTTGTCTTTTAGTTGCAATTTTGTCAGGAAATGTGCTGTATTATCTCGTCTTTAATCATACATTTTCAAACGCCAACAGGCATTCAGCTACCACCTGTGTAGGCTAATAAGCCTTTTTCAAAGCAGACATATTGTCTTTTCTTAGTGGGAAAAGCGCAGGTGTTACTAATTATATTAAGATGCAAGTGTCCCATTCAGCCATGACTGTGAGCCAGCATGCACAATACCAGCACCAAACGTAAGTTGCAAAATTAAATTCATTAAATTCTGTTGGATGTGATAAAGTGTCTTCAGTGGAAAAAGGCCTATTGTACTACACTTTTGAACGAGTGATTGCAGTAGATTGGTTATTGTATTGTTGTGAGCTGTAACGTGAAAACAGTCCCGGGGCTGTGGTTTAACTTTCTTTTCCTCTGTGCCTTACGAAACAGTAACTAACATAACTCAACCAAAGGTAATACAGGCATCACGTTGCGTGATAGAAATGCTCCCATTTAATGGATGGCAGTTCTTTTAATTTGTCTTTTCATGGCTTGGAGATGGTGGTTAATACCTGCTCAACTGAAGCACAGCAGGAGAAAATAAAGACATTGCCTACTCCCTTAACTCCCAGTCTCTCACACACACACACACACATTCGGAGCGTGCACATAAGACGGACACACACTATCACTTTGACACACTAACGCACGTTTGCGCACCCGCCTCGGCCTGGGGTCACACTGTCATTTTATGATGGTAGCCAATTCTAGCAGGGATCATTTAATTCTCCAACGTGATTGATACCAGCACAGGTTAAATGGGAGAAAAAAGGTCTGTTCTATTAAGAGATCAGTGGCTAGTGGAGACCTCCCACTTAAATAGTCATATTTTCCCATAAGTGTGTGTTTGCGTGTATGCAGTGTGTGTGTGTGTGTGTGTCTCTCTCACTCAGTTTCTTGTTTATGTTGAGGGGACACAGAGACAGTGCAGAGGACCATTCACAGGTCAAATTGAATAACCGAGATAATTTAAAAAGCATTGACAGTGCAATTTGTCCATTCAGTGTTATTGCTCTGACCCCTATTAGTGTCAATGGGCTGGTTCATTTGAACCTAGATGGCTTATCAAGGTGTTATCGTCTCGCCGCAATGGACGTGGTGTAATACAAAGGAAGAAAAAAAACCCTAATGGTCATTTCAAAGCCATTAGGTTGGATTGTAGTGATTGAGGAACATTACGAGGCTTTAATGTGCTCGCATATTATTTCTAATAAAAATCATTTAGCAGTAAAAATTGCAGATGAGGAAGTAATTATAAGCATGCTAGTGGAAAGGCAGAGTGTTACTGCTTATTAAACAGCCAATTCTATTAACCGCTTTCAACTAAATGCTCTTTTTTTTTTTTCTCCCCCTTGATTAACAGGCAGCAGAGGCCCGGCGGGACCTTGGCCTGCCCTGAAACAACTCGATGGATCTCAGTGCTGACTCCGGGACACTCCCCACCCACACCGCTGTAACTTACTACTGACAATAGAGGACAAAGCAAAGAACATTCACCAGCTGATTTGTTTATTTAAGTTTAGGATTAGATTTAAACTAAAAACCTTTCCTATAAATAATTACTGGGTATTTGTCACAGTTTTGTTCTCAGAAACAAAATATGGATGTATTTTCTATGTTTCCTGACATGTATTTTACAGAAATGTGCAGGACACTAGCAGAACAGCTTGCTCTTTATTGAAATCAAGTTTTCTTATTGTATGCAGGCGGACACTGTCTTTGTCCTACAGCCTCACCATGCAACCCAATGTTGTACCTTAGATTTACCAAACTAACTACTTAATAAGTATTTGAATAACCAAATTAGAAGCATGCCTTTTTGCTTTTGCAGGTAGGAGGACCTGCGATGGAGCAAGAGCTGTCTCTGTCTAATGCTCGCTGTCAAACAGAAAGTGGAGGCACCATCTTACTGCAGTTGCTGGAATTTAAAACCCATCTACTTGAGGCTGTTGAGGAGCTGCACATCCGGAGGGTACGGTAGCGTTTGTAACATTTGCCGTCAGTGTAACCAGCAGGTCTCGGTTTTCCCAACCCTGTAGATTATCATCCCGTGAGACGATGCAGTGTTTATGTGTCGCCCATCGTCACTGCTCGTATTGTTCCCTTGTTTTATTTACATTTTTTTAGAAACATAAAATTTACTAGTAATTAACAAGAAAAAAAAGCTCAGTTTAGAGGAATGTATTAATTAATTCATTGAATCAAGTTTCTAAAGAAACACAATCAGCCAATCACTTTTATAGTATGAAGACCACATACGGAACCTTGCTGTGTATTTTTAATACATGTCAAATGAAGTCATTGTTTCTTTTCGTGTTAATGAAAACAATACGATACATAATGAAGGTTAGTTTTAAACTCCGTCCCTACTTCCTTAGGTACACATAATTGAATAAAGCCAGCAGTCTCGCACATCGTCTTTGTGCTAACTGGTACAAAGTGACTCCAACAGGAGAAGCTGAAGTTCAATGTTTTCGGGCAAATGAAGAACTGACATTTCACATTGAGAAAATCTCAATAGGAAGCAAATCTTCCCGTAATATTTCGAGTTCATTCAACATGTTTTCTCAAGTTCAGTTGACGTAACTCGGTTGTTTTTTTTACCTTTCTTTATGTTTACATTACTGAAGACTTTGAACTAATTATTCAGTTAACGTTTCTGTCAATATGTGTTTTTATTTTAAGCATTGCTTACGTCCTCTGTACTTCTGTGTCACATCACTAACTAGGGAGTAGAACTGGGACACCTGGGGCTCTTTGTTTGGCTTAAGAGCAGTGTGATTTCACAGAAGTAGGAGGAAGCCAGCTGCCTCTTTTGGCCATCTGGATAAGAGCCAGCTAGGTTTGATGCCCATTGCATCGAGATGGGGGTCACCAAAAGCCATTCGACCCCTGACCAATAAGTAGGAAGTAAATTTGTTTGTAAAAGTAACATCAAATAAATAATGTTTTTCACCCTCCAGCAAGTACTTTCAATCCCGACAACACATTGTGAGTGTGCTTAAAGGTTAGGCGAGCAAAAATGGGATGTTGGTCGTTTGTTGCCATTTAGTTTTTATTGTTATAGTCGTGTTAACTGGGACACAAGCATGAGATGGTGTATCAGTGAGATCCTCCTCAGGCGCTGCCGTTATCTAAGTAGCATTTTGTGGTTGTGGCGTTCATGGAGGGGAGAGGTTAAGAAACGAGAGGATGTCATGATGGTGCCGGACATTCCTGAGCAGGTCAAATTCCAACGGGTTTTTCAGTTTTTTGTTTTTATTTTTATACAGAACAACCCTATGCTTTAGTTGGTGAGGATGTGATACACTGGTAGACAGTGTGAGCTGAGAAGCTTTTTACAGTGTTCAAAAAAATACAAATTCTAAGTGAGATGTGAAGACACAGTTTGACTTATCACAATAACATGTATAATGGAAAACTTCAGGGTAAGCTATGTATAACTTCCTTCAACTAGACTATTAAATAATCCATCACTTTTTCATACCCAGATACTGTTTTTTAATGCTCATTAAAAATCATCCATTCAGAACAGCAATAAAACAGTAAAGAGATGAAAAGCCATGGCAAAAATATGTTAACTGAATTTTCACATAATACCTAATATCTCATATTATATATTATTTGGCAAAATTTTAATTAAAAGTTCAGCTCTTAGTTGATCTGCAGTTGGCGATTTAACATTTTGGATTAATAAAACTTTCTAGTGTCTTTTTAAACACATATACACTGTTTCTCTCACTCACACACACACACACACTAATAATGATTCCTCAGTGGAAAAATAACAGCTTTATCTCCTGTGCACTCCCTTTTTTTTTTTTTTTTTTTTTGAGTGCACCGCCACGCTGGTAGCATAGTTTAATTGGAACTTATAAAATAAACTCAGTGAGTTAACCAGCTCCCACGTGCACATAAAAAAGTCCCGTGGATATATAGAGAGCAATTGACTTTTACCTGCCTTCTCCCAGTGAAGAGGGAGGATAGGGATGGCTTTCCACAAATATCACCTCCCCTCTAATGTTCCTCTTTCTCTGCGTGCTCCTACGAAAAGATACGGAGGGATGAACCAGGGAAACTTGCTGCAGTTTGCCGTTCTGGCTCAACTCCAATCAATTTCTGCGCCACGCCTGCTAAAATCGCCCTGTACCGACCATCATCGCCACATCTAAAGTTACTGTCTCGTTATCTAATTTAGCAGGTGTCTGATTGTGAATTACTCCTTACACAGTATGCGCGATTGGATGGTTGAGTATCAGCTGTTATGTAAAAGATGCCTTTTCCGTGCTTCAGGATGCAGAGACACGCTTTGAGGGTCAGATCAGTAAGCTGGTGTTGGAGAAACAGGAGCTGGAGTGGGAGAAGGTACGGCTGGGCCCAGCTGGCTGTCTTTGATATCTTTATTTTGGTACCTAGATGTGTGGATATTTAACACCTAGTTCATTTTCATATGGTATACTGTGTTGATTCCTGTGTGACAGGAGTCCCTGCAACATCAAATTGAAACGGTGTCAAACCAGCACACACAGTCACTCATCAATGTTAAGAAGCAGGTATGTTTTTACCGTTTGTTTGCAGTTTTTATATTTCAACAAAGACGTTAAACAATTCATTAAAACCCCTCTAAACTAATTTCATTTCTCAAGCTTCAGGCCAAAATAAGAAACATTGAGGAGGAGAAGGTACAAAGGGCTTATTTCCAAAAACATTTTATTAAATTATTGTTTTTTAGCGGAGTAGTAAATTCACTAATTTCCGTTGCACAATCTTGGCCCTCTGAGTGGATTCTTTAGTGATGCGCTTTGGGATTTATTGCTTTTTTTGATACTCACAATAATAATCTTAACATTTCAGGGGAAGTACCAGGTCAGTGCAGAGTTGAAAGACAAGGAGATTAACAACCTGAAAGAAGAGCTGAAGTCGCTACAGGTACTGAGATGTGTAACACACAGACAGCCTCCTCTCTCACTCACACACACACACACACACACACACACACACACACAAAACAGCCCGCCCACTCATCCCAGCTCTTAAAAATCTGAGAAAAAAACTGTTCAAAGAGAGAAGTAAATAAAGGAAGCTCATGCCCGGCCAGAGTCAAGGGCGTCGGGTGTTGGAGCCCAGGCCTGAGTCTTCAGGCTTGACACCCCAGCGGTGATATACAGCCGTCCCCACGGTCTGCTGCACTTTAACAGCCCAGCCGCCTTACAGAGACAAATAGAGACTCTTTTTGATATTCTATCTGGGAGACACGACTGTGGTGTTCTTGCTAAAGCGAGGCCCACTTGTGAGTTAATTCTTGCGACACGGTCTTGTGGGCTCCTTTTTAATTTAACACGCTTTGGCAGTTGGGATTGAAGAGATTTAATTGCCATACCTTGATGATCTGCTAAATTACAAATTTGAGCTCCATTTGAACAGTGTGGTTCAACTAACCTTTAATTAAATCTGAATAAATCATCTCGGCAGTGTATTTTAATCTATTATTTCTGTACTAATATAATTCCGTTTTTATTAGTCTCAAAATCAAACAAATAATAGGGTAGAAATGCTCATAAAAAAGGCCAATGTTATTTTTCGATTTTCTATATTTCACAATTTATTTTGGAAGGTCATCATTTAGTAAAATACTTTGTTGTCTTTGAATGCAGGCTGGCAGATGTATACAGTGCTTCTCAATCTGACCCCTTTAAGACATTAAACTAAATGTATTTGCCAACCTACATCACCATCACATAACTACATATAATAAAGAATATTTCCCCTTTAGTGTTGCATATTTCATTCATCATGAGAAGACGTGATTACATATTTCATGAAGAAGGAAAACAACACAAACAAAAAGTCGAACTATTTCCCCCCTAACCCATGAATCAACTTGAGCCCGTTAAAAGTTATCTGGTGCCCCCCCCCCCCCCCCTGTGGGTCTGGATCCCCAGCATGAGAACCCCACTGATACTGGTTAATGAAGTGCTAGTTGTTTGATAAATGATCCCCAAAGTCTGACAACATCCAGGTCAGCCTATCATGTCAACGTCTCAGTGCAAACTTTGAGACAAAAAAAAAATGGTCGAGCTCTTTCAGGAAAAATAAATCTGCTCTGAGTAGTTTGATAAAGAAAACTGCCAACGTGAAGATTATCATTGATATCTTTGGTTGGACATTTGAAGATGTCACCTCACACTCTTGGAGACTGTGGATGCTTTTCACTATTCAATGAACTAGATGATTAATTGCATAATAAAAATAAGATCAACAGATTAATCAATAGTGAGCAAAATCATTAGTTGCAGCGGTAGATCAATACTGACGGAGCACATTTTTATCAAATGCATACATTTCTATAGGAATAATACCAGTTCCAATTATGTATGTGCATGTCAAGGTTAGCTTTTTTTTTAAATTAAATATTGTAGATATTTAAATGTATTTTTCCCCCCACCGAGTATATTAAGTTAATGTGCAGAAAGTCTTGTCACTGATGATTTTTTTGATCCCAAAAGAAAGTTGGAAAACCTAAAATGCTCGACTCATCAGAGCGGAAACCTTTTAATCCTGTTGCTTTTCTTTCTCTGCTGTTTCACAGTTACTGAAGTACAACTTGGAGAAGAGATCAAGTGAGCTGGTGAGGAGGCATTTTCTACTTCTACGAACTGTTGACAGAGGATTGGTGGGAGTGAGAAAAATGAAGAGGAGGTGCGAGGGGACGGTGCTAAGGAGGGACGGGTTCGGAGGGAAGAGCTCATCAGGAGTAACGGATAGGGAGTGCGCGACACTTTGAACTGCCAGCACAGCAGAGAAAATCTCTATTAAAATGCTTTATAACCGGGCCTCGCTCGGTTTAACCCTCTTCACATAACAGTGGCTCCCCCGAGCGAGAGGGGAGTCGAAGTGAGCTGGTGTGTTGGAGAGGGGGAGAGGAGGGAGGGGGGGAAAGGAGAGTGAAGCAAAAAGAATCTGTTCAGCTTGATACAGACAATCAAACTAGAATGGCAGTTTGAAGAGGGATAAAGCGCTCTGAGGCATGCGCCGAGTCGATTCCTTCATCCCACAGAAAGAGACGCGCACTCTCCGTGTTAGACCGCGATCCTCTCAATCACTTGACATCGGTTTGTCTCTTGTTTTGTGCCCGCCTTTCAACCTGAGCATGCTTCTTTTTTAAAGGCTAACTCCTTCCCTTAAAGGAAAAGTTTGACATTTTGGGAAATAGACTTGTTTTTTTGCTGCGATGGGAATGAGAAGATCAGTACTGTTCCAACGTCTGTGTGCTGCGTGCAGACCTAGAGCTAGCAGCCAATTAGCTTAGCTTGACAGAAAGACTGAAAGTAATAATACATTTTATTTGTATAGCGAATGGTAAAAACAGAAACAATAAAAGCATTTACAATACAAACAAAAGAGTTAGGAACAACACAAAAACATACGTAACTAGCTTCACAGGTTAAAAGCAGATTTAAATAGGTGAGTTTTAAGTGATGGAGAATGTCTGAGCTGCAGGGGGAGAGAGTTCCAGAGGCAGGGGGCAGCAATGGAGAAGGCCCTGTCCCCCCAGGTTCGGGGTGGGAGCGTGTCGGAGCAGGAGGTCAGAAAGGTATGAAGGGGCTTAGGGTTGTGAAGGGTTTTGTATGTAATTAGGAGAATCTTGAGCTGGATTCTTTGCTGTAAGGGGAGCCAGTGGAGGTTTTGAAGGACGGGGGTGATGTGATCTCTAGAGTGGGAGAGCAGATGGACAGCTGAGTTTTGGATGTATTGTAGTTTGTTGATGATTTTGGAAGATGTGCCATAAAGGATGCTGTTACAGTAGTCCAGTCGAGAGGTGATAAGGTGTGGATCAGTGTTTCAACAGATGAGGAGGAGGTGCAGACGATCAATGTTTTTGAGAGGAAAGAAGACGTTTTTAGTGATTGACAAAAAAGTGTGTGTGGAGGAGGAGGGGGGGGGGGGGGGGCTACCAGAACCTCTCACTAATATACATGTTTTATCCTGTTTGTAAAAACCCAAACTTTCTATGAATGAAACAGTCTTGGCAGGGACTTCCTGGAGCCTTGACCTCACTTCACCTCAGGCTAGCTGCTTCCCTTTGCTTCTAGTCTTCATGCTAGGCCAAGCTAACCAGCTGCTGCTGTTAGATTTGAAGCGTCAAAGACAGACACTAGAGTGGTATTAGTCGCGTCATCAAACTCCCAGCAAGGAAGTGTATTTCCCCATATGTTAAACTATCGCTGTAAGAAAAAAAACATTTTAGACCTTTCTTCCTCCTTCCTCTTCGTATACATCAATCCTTTTCATTCTTACGTTCCTTCGATGAGAACTTATCGCTGCAGTGTTTTGCACTGTTCCTCCAGATCTGTGGGTCCACTACTTTTTCTAGTTTGTTTATTTTTGTCTCGGAAGAAGGCGCTCATTTCTTTGTATGTTTTTAACTTTACCTTCTCCACAGGAACAGAAATTAGCCTTGCAGAGCCGGTCAAAGGACAGCCACTTGAACCAGTTGGGGGAGGTTGAGAAACGTTTCTGTGCTCTGTCCCGACAGTGTGCCATGGTCAAGCAGGCCCACGAGAAACTAGAGCAAAATGGTAATTAATGGATGTACGGATGGATGAGTATATAGCTTTTTGTATACGGTCTATGATATATTCTAAGATGTATACATGCTCTCCCCTGTGGTCATAGCTGCAGTGTTCCAGGTTAATAGAGGCCCTATTTGGCTCCTAGAACAGCCTGAATTCTTTAGGGTCTGAATGTAACACGGTGCTGGAAACAACTCGCAGAGATCTCGATCCGTGCTCACTTGATGGAGTAATGTGAATTTTTAACAGCACATTGATTTCTACAAATATCTGGTTTCACCTCATCCCGAAGATATTATTATGGGGTCGAGATCCTCCTTTCAGGATGTCTGATAAAGAGCAAACTGTGGCTATGAGCAGATCTCCCTGGTCAACAGCAAGCAACATTAATACCAGCAGCCTGTTCTGTTGACATGGCTCCATGCATCCATGCTGTGGACAACAAGCATGCATCCTGCTGTTAAATTACAGACAGCTGACAGGAGAGTAACCAGACATGTTGTCCAGGTGCTTCAGAGTTCAATGAGCTGTGTGTTCTGAGATGACCTTTTGCCCAATATCGTGTTGTTTTTGGTCACCATTATTGGTATTCCCATATCGTATTCACTGTCTCTGCTTATGTAGCGGGTTGATTCAGGTATGCAGGTGGCTCATTTTGCATCGGCTGTCGCTAAAAAAAGACTGACCTCTCAGGTGTCATTCATCATTTACCTATAAGGGGCACAGAACAACCAGAGTGAAAATCAGAAAGTTATTGTTGCTAATCTGGATCCCTCCCTATCTGTCCCTCATTAACAGTTCTATGAGAGCGTTGTAGTTATGTCACAGCATTATGTACGGTGGCGTCTCACCATGTGTAACTCTTACAGTTGATGAGGCCATGAAAATAAAAAAGAATCTGACTACTGCGAATGCAAAACAAGAAGCAACCATCGTGTCACTAAAGAAGGTACGTATGTGGAAAAATGCATTAACAGTATGAATCATCTGAGGCGAGCTGTCGTCACGTTTAAAATCACTGACTGTGGGTCTGACTAAATGCTCCTGAAGCTTGCACCCATCGTCAGTTTGGCGTACTGCCAATTCATATCCACGGTTGCCTAAAAAATACTATAACGGAAATAATGTTGTCAGTATTTAAACAAAGTGTTTGAGTGATTATTGTTAATATATGGTGGTATTCCAGGAGTTGGAGGAGGTCAGTCACAAGCTGATCAAGGCCAAGATGTCCTCAGTTAGACACGACGAGGCGCACAGTGCTACAGGCAGAGAGCAGCACTGCCAGCAGCTGCACCAGAAACTGAACATGGTGAAGAACATCAGTACATATAATAATAGATCGTCTCTGTCACATTCAAATACATCTCTCATAATGCTGCTATTTCATTTCTTTTGCATGTTTAGGAAACTAAAATGAACAAAAAACTCAGGGAGGAAAATGTAGCAGTGAGAGCAGAAAAGCAGGTAAGAAACTAGCGAATAGGGAGGAAGTCCTATGTGACCACTACCTTCAACTTGATCATATTTTGTGAGTGAGTTTCTCTTTGAGGATGCTATGCTGTTCAAAAAGAGTCTTTCCTTCCACTGGAAGAGATTGTGTGAACTCTCTATGATTACAAGTAGCAATAGAAGTGTAATATTGTACGACGTCATTGTGGATACCCGTGTTTCGTGCATGTACGTGTGTTTACACAGGACGTGATGAGGTCCCTGCAGCACACCCAGCAGCTTCTGTTGAGTCAGACACAGACAGTAAGCCGAGCAGAGCGGGAGCTGCAGTCTCAGAGAGAGCAGTACCAGGTCAGGGACTCGTATTCTCTGCTGGGTTAAGGACATAACTGTTCAGAAATGTGTGAACATACATCAGCACAGATTTAACCTCATTCTACAACTCACTAAACTGCCTTATTTTTTTAATGCCTTTTTCTTGCCGTGTGAGCCCACATTTATACCACGTTGTCTTGTCCCCCACCATATAATTTATTGATGTGTTAGTCTAGATATCAATTCAATTATTTCTTTTTATTGGTTTAGCAGAAAAAGAAAAGCAAAGCAACATTGTAGTTTGACATGCACAAGTAGACACAGTTGGTTACAATGGTAGTGATCTAATAAAGGGAAAGGGACGGAGTTATTCTCAAAGACTCAGACTGTCTGGCTTTTCCAGAAATTCCTTCTTTCAGTCATCTGGAGACGCATGATGACAGATCAAGCTGAAAAACATCACACTGTGTGATCATCCTGATTGAAACTGGAAATGATTTCAGTTATAATTTAGGGGCAAATAAATGTGTCTAATGGGAATAAAACAAGAGAATTGTCAACTCAGAACAACTGCTATTAATAAATTACTGAGTATTAATAAAAACAACAAACCAACAGCTTCTTTGAAAGATATGTCACTTCTGTTGTTCTTCCTGACTTCCCTCTTGTGATTTCTTTCTTGGATGCACATAACCATTTATTGTATGCCTAAACAGATGGAAGCAAATGTATGTCAAAAGAGATGTATGAGAATGTGTGTTTCAGTTGAAAGCCTGCACCTCCTATTGGCCCCACACGGATCAGGAGTTCGTCAGGGTCTATTTAAATGATTATGGAGTGAATTTACACGAGGACAGGAATAAATAACGGCCATCATTTCTTCTCATAAATGTGATGAATGCGGTGTTGTACATCACAACATATACATTAGTGTATATGATCCCCTCCGCAACTGAATGATAGTGTGTTCATTCTCCATTTATGGCTTTACACTTTATTATTCGCCTTTCTTCTCTCTTCACCCCCTTTTCCATTTTTTAATTCACCTATTCATTCATTTATTAAAATCATTATTAAAATGACACAAGCCAACTGATTTGTATTGGCGAGAAGTGCACTCTCCCTCTCTCCCCGCTCTGTTTAAGGCCCCCTGTTCACGTTAAATAAACACGTAAAAATTTAGTATTGCATTAAAAATCTCATGGGTGATTAATTTTACTGCAGGCCCTTAAGCAGGAACAGAGGGTGATGAGAGAGAGAAGCAAGGCGACGGAAGACAAGGTGGCGCAACTGATGGAGAGCAACGCCGCTTCCAAGCACAGCTGGGACAAAGAGGTAGGAGAGAAACTAGTGTGAGAGAAGACAGTGCGAGGGTGACATTTTTATACAGCAAAAGATCTGAAAAGAGCCATCGTGTCTGTTTTAAATGTGTCTCTACGTTTTGTTTTAAACAGAAGGTGACGTTTCTGGATTGCATCAAAAGCGAGCGGCAGGACCTTCGAGCAGTGAAAGAGGCTTACGAGGAGCTTCGTCAGGAAAACATGGAACTGTCCTCGCAGACCAAAGTGCATGCTCAGCATATATATGAATTGGAGGTAGAGACACGCACGCATGCATAGTGGCCTACGTGTACCCAAAACACATAGGAGTCAGTAATGCTTTATACAGAGACAAAGTGTTGTCCAACCAACGTGACAACTCATTTTTTCCTGGCTAACACTAACAAGTGATGCTACCTCAATTGTGACCTATTCAATAGCTCACAATTGAGGTTAGTTTTAGCCTTGATTTATTTATTTAAATAAAGAAAATGTAAACATTCAGCAGGTCCTAAGCAGATGTAGGTCTGCATTCCACGCCAATAAAAAGTACCTGCTTGATGATGATACACATCTAGAAGTGAAATAATAATAAAAATGTCTAACAACAAAGACTATTGATGTAGTGCTGTGGTCAGATTGGAGGCTGTTTTGTTGGATTCAACTACACTTAAAAGTGTTTCTAACAAGATATTAGGATGGAGAAAAAAGAGTTAGAAAGTACAAAGCAGTTCATAATGAATTGTTAACAGTTCAGGGATAGAGTAGCCTCAAGTTCATCTGACTACATAACTTTTCCTTTGACAGTTGAATGTAGGACTTGTTGGGAAAGCCTCACATGAGAGGCAGCTTCTCGGTGAACTGTGCCCTTGTCACATACTGGAGCAGACCTGTGAATAAAAGCAATTGTATCTGAACAAAGTGGCATAATGTATTATTCTCTACACAGATGAGAGACGAGGGAATCAGAGGAGAGGGAACTAATGAACCCATCTCCAGCTCTGAGCTGCCTAGCTTTGGCAGTCTGCAGCCCTTGGCTTCCGCTCAGACCAACAGCCCGGACCGTCTGGAGGACACGGGGGTTGTGACTCAGCTGGATACCACTGGAGCAACTGGAGGTCAGCCAGCTAAATATAAACATACAGTACATAAGCATATATTCTTACTTGTTGTCTACTAAGAATTCAACACAGAATTTGAATTAGACTACAATATAGTGGCATCAATTGCATTGCTTCTATTTATGATAGTTTTCCAACAGTATCAACTGTAGTAAGCCATGGCCACATGTGTGTCGATGGATCTGTAGACTCACTGATCAAAGAAAAGAGTGATGAAGGAATGAGTGAGAGAGAGCAGCGCTGGAAAGATGACGAGAAACGAGTAAAACTCAACAGAAGCAAGAGGGAAAGGAATGGAGACGGAGAAGATGCAAAGGAAGGAGGAAGTGCTGCAGAGAAGAGCGGAACGCTCGGGGCCCAAACAACAGATAGAGCAGACAGACGAGAGGGTACGCACGGGTCACCGGAGGATGCAGGGGGGGGCCCCAAACAGCCTGAAACGGAAACAAAAGATAGAGCCGAGGGTGAAGGGACGTACGGAGCAGAGGAGAGAGGAAAGACAGCGCTGCATGCAGCAGAAACCCAGATAGCGGCCCAGACGACCACTGATACAACCACCAAGAACAGCGACACACAGCAGGTCTTTGACCTCACGGACACTGAGCCACCGACGGCCGCCTGCGAGCCCTCAGACCGCTCACAAAGTCTCCTTCAGAACGTCAGTGAGGAGGATGCCGACTCCTGCCGTCTGAACGAAGGATACGAGACGCCCTCTGTTCTGTGCCGTTCCCATGAGCCCCAAGGTGTCAACCACGGGCCGAACTGTGTCGTTCAAGAGGTGCAAAGACTCTGTCATGATGAGGTCCAAACCTTTGCTGAGTCAGCTACCCCGAGTCCGGTTCATCACGTTTTGGAGAAAACCACGGAAGAGAAACCGTCCAAGAAATCAGCAGCCAATATGTCTACGGGACTTTCTGGACCTCTGAATCAGTCAAGAATCTGTAGCTCACAGATCAATAACGCACCATCAGCTGCTCAGTTGGATGTTGTTCGTATCCAAGAGTTGGGGACAACACAAACTCAACCTAGTGATCCTTCAGACATCCCCAGCGACATGAAACAAACAGATGCATTACCTCCAATTCTGGACATCTCCGAGCCAAGTGGACAGCCGAAGTCTCTGGTAACTGATGGCGATGGTGATTCTAGTGCATGCAAGGAGAGGGAAGGTCAGTCAAACGTAGATGCACAAGAACAGGATGACTGCGAGACTGCCCAGGAACCTACGGACAAACATCCTTTGAAGGATGCCTGTGCTGATACCACGATGGATACTGCGGACCTCGAGACCAGCAGCAGTCGGGAGCGAGTGCTGAACGACAAAATAGACGACGCAGGAGATGCGAAGACGACTAAGACCGAAGCTGATTTGAAGCCGTCTGTCCATCCAGCTCACGAGAGCGATGCGTCACCAGAGAGTGGCGGCTCAAAATGCTATGAACCGTCTCCAGCAAAAGAACCGCTGCATGATGGTACAAACGAGGGGCCTCTGCTCAGCAATAAGACGTACAGGTCGTCATTTGACTGGGGCAGCGCTCAGAGAAGAGCAGGAAGCTCCAGAGATGAGTCCGATGTCTCCGTTCTGCATCAGTTTGTTCAGGTAACACAGTTTATACATTTAATGGCATTCAAGAGAGCGTCAAAGGGACAGTTCACCCCAAAATATAAAAATAACATTTTTCCTCTCAGCTGTAGTGCTATTTATCAATCTAGATTGTTTTTGTGAGAGTTGCCTCGTCTTGGAGATCTCGGCCTATAATGAGACTAATGGCACTCAGCTTGTGATGCTCAAAGCGACAAGCAACATACATTTGAAAAACTCAACAGCAATGTCTCTGTCTAGAAATCATGACCCGGTTACTCAGGATAATCCACAGACTTTGTTTGTGAGCAGTTTGATATTGGAACTATTTTCTTTCTACCGAACTACACCCGCCAACAGTATGACCGCACAGCAGGAAGCGTGCACCTACTCATGGATGAGAGGCTCGCGACGGCGCGAGATGTAAACATTAATGGCGTCCTCCTCGGCTGAGCTGTGACCTTAGTTAGCTCAGTGGTGCTAGGCTCAGGAGCAGCATCGGTTAGTTACAAACCATGAGTAGCTGCAGGTGATATGCTGAGCGGGCGTGGATTGGCCACGTGCCTGATAGTTCCATTATATTGGAGAGAAGGCCGCATCTCTATGGCCGATATTTCAATAGTAGGCAACTCACTCCAAAACAATTTTGATTGACAAATTGCTCTACGAGTAAAGAGAAATGTGTGTTTTTATTTTAGGGGTGAACTGTCCGTTCAAAACGAAGCTGTGTATCAGTTGTGTCACTATCTTCTGTGCAGAGAATTGGGGATGCAGCTTGTCACAGCTTTATTAATATGTATTCAGAACAAACTTAAGGTTTATTTTATTTGTGACCATCCATTACTTTGACCAAAACTTGTGCTGTGTTTGTGCAGAGTCACAGTGCAGTTTGAATCGATGCTTAAGTGGTTTGGATGATTGAAGTAAAACCTGTCCAATGGTCTTACTGCTCGCTCATCTTGCTTGTCCTACTGGACTAGATTCTAAACCTGTGTCTACATGATAAAGCACGGTAACAATGTTTAAGCACAAAGCAATAAACTGGTATAAATATATTAGTATTGGATACAGTATGTGATGATTTATGATGGTCGTTTTGGTCTCTAACACATTGGTGTATTTTTCAGGGATCCCCTTCGTCTGAGCAAAACACAAGTGGTCCTGGTGGACTCCTCAGACATCCACCCAGCACAATACCCATGTTCCTCAAAAGCAAGCACGAAAAAGGTGACTGTTGCATGTTGTACCATCCGTTCCATTAAAAAACGGCATCGTGCCATCGTGGAACACGGTAGTGCTGCTCCACTGGTAACCTCTTACACAGTGATCTGTATTCCACACCGTCACTAACAATCACTCATCCTTACCCTCTCGCTGTTCTCTCCATCCCTCACCTCATTCCTCCCAGTCCCCTTGGTGATTACCAGGGCGTCGGATCTGCTGAATGCCTCCAGTGTCTCTGGGACCGCCGCTTCCGCGGCGAGACGCCGGCAGGGAGGGCGAGGCGCTCTGGGAAAGACCTGCGGAGAGACGGCAACGGCAGATACGGTCAGTCCCAGAAGCCGTTTCTTGTTTTGTTTTCTTTGTTGCCCTTGTGACAGTCTCGCAAAATGATGAAGTGTTCGAAGCACGCCAACCTATACGGAACAAAGTAAACTGATCCCAATATTACACCGGTGACAGAGTGAACGCTGCACTGATGATTTACATGTCATGTGGTTTCTGAATGATCTCTGAATGTGATCTGCACTAGAAAATAAATTAAATTTGAAGTGTTGGAGCCCATTTCATCACAGCAACATTGTTCTGCATTACGACTTGACGCTGAACAGCAGGAAATGGCCCCGGCATGATGTTCACATGTGCGCCGCCTCAGAGGAAGTTTACAGTGACCCCGATAAAATAGCTTCTCTATCAAATAAATTGGTTTGAGGTCATTGCTGTTCCACCGATTTCTCAGCTTCATCATTTCATAAACTGTGTCCGAGTGGACCCCGGGGGAAATTTGTGCTAGGGCTTAACAAATATGTCTGTTACATCAACCTGACATGCCCTCATAAGAACTAGATGTTGTAATGCTTTTTGTTCAACATTCTTGCGGTCCAAAAGGCTCAGTGCGAGAGAGAGCGAGTGATAGCCGAGGCCAACACATTCAGAAGACTGTACGGAATATCTGAGAGGGATTTGAGACGAGTAACACTTTGACTAATGGTACGTCGGGTGTTGAGTGAAAGGACGTAGCCGATGTGCGCTGAGCTCGCAGACAGACAGAACAAATGACCTGTGATAGAAAGTCTACCTAATGGCGCTTGGGTTCTCTCTCTCGCTCTCGCTCCCTCCGTCTGCTCGCTTTGCCGTTTCACGCTTTTATAAGATCCAGGTGCCGGCAATTGAGGGAGATAGAGCACACCGTGCCTCGAGTATGAGGAGAAAAAACAAAAGCAACCGGTCTAATAGTTTAACAAATTGTAGTGAGGGCCAAAGCCTTTATTTTCTGCAGAGTCTGAACACTGGGGACGTCACACAGAGTTCAGTCTGAGCCTGGCTACTTTCTCAGGGGCCGGATACTGTTACATATCAGTATCATACCTCATATTGCCACTGGTTATTGTCTTCCCCGAGTATGTTTACTGGCTAATGTTCCTTTTACTCAAAAATATTAGCTTCATCAGGAGGCACCGAGGTTTGAGGAGGAATGGATCTAAATAGAAGTTCACAGTAGATGTTTGAGCTCTACTGCATTTCTTTTTTTGGTGTCATTTTTGCACAGGAGAGCAGAGCTTCTCTGTCCATCCCATCTTTTCCAGTCAGCAGACTGCCATTGCAAAGCACCCCAGGGTGAGTAGGTGCTCTACGATGGAGTTTTTATATAACTGTACGTTATCGGGAAGACGTTCCTTGAAATGATGTTGGATCTACAACAGAGGTTTCAGATCATCACGCAAATCACCTGTGATGGTGTTTTTCTTCATTGTATTACTGTTAATACGCAGCTAGCTACAGTAGCTAGCTAAATGAAAATGTCCATTACCAGCTAAGAAGAGTCCATGAGAATTCATTAGTGATTCAAATGAAACATTAAATGATCATAGGACGATATACAGTATATATTTAGCACTTTTGTGGTATTTTACAAAACAGTTTTTGCAAAGCAGAAAATATTGGTATTGTCAGCCAAAAAAAAGCTCAGGGAGAGTGATTAACAGATAGACAGTGTCTGTCTTAATGCCCAACACAGCTGCACCACGCTGGGTACAGAAAATATGATATTTCAATAAAACAAGTTCCAAATTTCAGTTTCAACAGATTTTTTTAAGATGATACGAAGGTGATTTCATAATGCTTCATGTCAAGCTAACACAATTCATTTTTTCCTTACAACAGGTGTAGCAGAGCTCCTACCTCAGCTGCAGGTCCTAGTTCAGAGTCCGACTGGGGGCCCGTTTGCTCCCAGGAGAGGGAGGACCAACAGTCATCGTTCAGAGCCCAGATCTCCAAAATCGAGCAGTTCCTCAACACAGAGAGGCTCCGTCTGCCCAAAAGACGAAGAACTGACAACTAAACCAACTCACCGTTCTGTTGAGGGATTCTACTGTATCTAGTTGCATCAATATTCTGTAGCACTTATTTGTTGTAGAGAATAGAACCTTAGCTGGGAAAGTAATATATAAGGGTGTCCAGTTTTTGGCTTAAATCCTTGCCCGTTCACATGACTGTTACAAAAACATTTCTGCATTTAATTTGAATGGAAAACGGGTCCGTTCATTGGTCGACGTTGCATCGGCATTGTGCGCAGGAGAGGAGGGAATTTATTTTTGCACTGGATGTTTATATAGAACTGTTCGCTAAAGATTTTAACATGCAGTTGTGCGTGTATCCAGCCATGTTGAAGTGTATGCATTGTCATATTAACACAAATAAAAGATTTGGCTGACATTTTGTCCTTTGATAGTAGTTTTCCAAATAGTACAGTATAAGTACAGTACTGTGTTATCACTAGTACCTTTTTAAAGGACAAGTGCAGCACAGCAAACCCTGCAAACAGAATGTGTTGCATTTGGTTTATTGGAATCACGTGCTCACAGTCTGTCATGCATTTCACAACAAACGGCCAGATAAAAACAAACGGCGAAGGCCAAGCACTGCTGTCGGTTAGAAAAGGCCTGGAACTGTTAACATGCCAATTAACATTAATTAGCGTCATGGCCAATCAGGGTTGCATGTCTCAGAGGAGCTCTAATTGTGGAGGCACCTTTTGGTTGACACCATGTTGTGTCTGGTGCCGCTGCTGTTGTTGGGCGAATTACAACTTGGGACACACCTGGTCAGAATCTTTTAACACCTATTAACATGTATGAAGAGATGACAATTAGCATCCCACAACCCTAATTAACAGAAATCAATTAGCAAACACACAGTCTAATTAACAGACAACTAACAAGCCTCTCGTTAACTTTATGTTCCCTGTGAGCATGATGGAGGAAAGCACATGTGTGAGCATGAAGCAGCTGACCACAGACGCATGCTTATTAGTTTGAGTGCCACATATGGACTGAACATGTCTGATGAACTAGCTAAGCTTTTGGAAGTGAGCTGGAAGAACAACACAGTTTAATGGAAATAATTATTAGTTTATGGCTTTTTTTCTAGATTTTCTAGATATATTCATAGCATAAATGAAGCAGCAAAAAGTATGTGATATGTAAAGATATCGTATTGTAATGTCTTCCTGAGCAGAGAATGAAGTCACTCTTCCTCTGAGTGTGTGTGTGTGTGTGTGATGTAATCCGTCTTCCCTGTGCTTTGTTTACATAGCCGGGCCAGCTGTGTGTACCTTTTTATCCTGTGTATCTACCAGTAAGACCCAAAGCTGTCGACTCGATAAAGAAACGAGCTATCGCAAACATTCCGCTCACGTTCGAAAATTAGCACGTTTTTTTGACGGTGGCACAAGGTCTCCGCTTGTTCCATCTTACTACACTTACTGATAATGAATACGCCTGAATGTTAATGCGCTCATAAAGAAAAATCCGGAGCGTTTGAGCATCTCTGCCCACCGCCACTGACCCTTATCCTTATTGGGAGGAAGGGAGGCGAGATGGGGGGGGAATATAAAGGAGTTAATTTTAATACTCTCGCGCAGACAAAAAAAACACGTTTGGTTTCTCTCACATACAGTTTCTGTCTCTCTCTCTCACACACACACACACACACACACACACACACACAGCCTGGGTTATGAAGTGTTGGCGCTTTGAAACAGTCAATTACCCTGCGGATAGGGAGGATACCTGCTGTTAATTACTGCTCAGTGTTTTATACGCAGAGTAAATAAAGAGACCGCTGACATTCACATTCCATCAATCTGTCCCCCAGCACCCACTGGTGTGTGTGCGTGTGTGTGGTGTGTGTGTGTGATGTTAAAAATAACCTCTAATGGGCACCATGGGAAAAAAAGCTGTAGACATTCAGGACTTCTATCAGAAGAAGTCTGTATCACCTGCTGTATCCACTTGCTGTACTTCTGCATAACAATAGAAAATGTATCTTTTATTTGTACCTAATGACATAACGCTATTCGTCCCACATTATTTCACGTACGTTTGAACAGAGGTTTAACCCTCACATTGATGAAATGCCAATGACAATACAGTACAATGCTGTAATGAACACCTCACACAACCATAACCCCCCCCCCCCAGCTAAATTACAGAGGCCTATACAGTCAGAGAGCAGTCACAAGTTTGAATTCAAGCCTGATTTACGGCCCCATTTTATTGAAATCCTGTACACGAGAAGGGAGGAAAAGCAATATATTTGCCAATCCTCCAGCTAAATGGGTCTCACCACTAAACATTGTTGAACATCCCGGGGTTACGGGGCCATGCTTTGTCATATTATACCTCTTTGCCTCAAAAGCCATCACAGTAAATCTGGCCCCGGGAAGTCGTATTAAACGCTGCAGTGGATGTCTTCCGAGACGGAGGCTGAGTGCAATCCTGGCACTCTGAGTGTACTCTGCAGTCTTAAAGTGAAGAAGTGCAGCTGCTCCTTTGGCCCCGTAAAAATACTTAAATGAGCAGATTATTATGGGGAGAGCGGATTCCGCTCCTCTTACCTTTCGCTGTCGAGTAGAACTTCTTTTTTTTTTTCTATTTTTACTCTATCTGGAAACTCTCCTATCATGTATCAATTTAACATTTAGAATGCATTTAAATTTAAGAGAAGTTTCCTGTTTTGATTAAGACATTCAACTTGGGTATAGATGCCTTTCTAGCTGTGAAACCACAGCTTTCACTTTAACTTATAAGTTCCTAGCCTGAATGATCTTAAGGACCATACCACTGTGTTTGCACATTTCCAACTCTCGACTGCAAATTATCACTATGTATGTATATATAATGTATTATACTGCTGTTCTGGGCTACCATTGATTTTCATTGATTTCTGTCTGATATGAAAATCAATTCGAAGACTTTTAAAACTTGCTTGTATTGTTTACTCATTACTGTTCACATCAAGTCCGCATTAGTCCTGTGTTCAATGTTCAGGCTGGTCTCATCCAGCGTTTGTATTTTAACATAATTATGCGCCATTTGTAGATATTCCACTAAATTATTTTGTGTTATCCACGTAATCACGAACGAGGAAGTATAAAGACCACTGAAGCGTGCAGAGGGAGGTGTAGTTTTGTTGCCTAAACTTAAGCAATTGTTTTGCAATCTTTTCCTAAACCTAACAAAGTAGTGTTGTTGCCTAAACCTCACTGAGATTCCTTTAAAGACGGAAGCATATTTTGGAAACACTATATGCATGCAAACAAGCGGAAATTGTAAGACATCTTACGAACCGCTGTATGAGGATACGTTGCAATGCTACATTATCGTTGATAGTGGAGTCTAAAGTCAGACTGCAACCGGAAAAGCGGCACTGAATTACTTCACCAAAAATGCTGGAACTGTGACAATATTGAATGCAGAGTTGGGCGTTCACTGTGATGTTCCAGGGGAACCTGACAGGTGGCACTTGTGCTACCGTTCAGCTGCTAACTATTCCGACAACAACTGGGCAGAGGCACAGCCCACGCTGACGGACATACTTTGCATGTCACTGTGATGTTCTTGTCTGTTTCATCCACAAATTCAAAATAATGCATATACTTCCACGACGTAAAGGCTGCCAACTGGCTAGCTGAGCTTCACACGGTGGCTAAGTGGTCGTCCCTCAATCAGAGGATTGGCGGTTCGATCCCTGGCTTCGCTACTCGCATGTCGGTGTGTCCTTGAGCAAGTCACTTAACCAAAATTGCTCCCGTAGCTGTACCTACGGTGTATGAGTGTTAGATAGTCTGATAGCCATCAGCCCTGCCATCAGTGTGTGAATGATGAGTGGTCAAAAAGACTAGAAAAGCGCTATACAAGTACAGTCCATTTACCATTTACACACACACTGATCCCCTCTCACATACTCGGTAGCTCTCACGCAGCCCAACAGCTAACTAGCTAGCTAGCCCTACCACATCTACTGGCATCGGTGGAAAAGTCCGTAAAGCCCGCCTCTTGCTTGATTTGATTGGCTGCCTCGGCCAAGTGTGACATTTACGAGCGGCTCGACTCAGCGACTGGCGCTGAAATTTAAGAAAATTCACTATACCATAGGAAAATATTTGGTTTTGCGGGTGATGCGTTTCTAAATAGCGTTTCTGTGATCTGAGCCTTAAGTTACTCAGTGCAACTAAAAAGTAATCTGTGTACTCTTAACGCATTACCCTCAACACTGGAGATTATACACAGTAAATCACTGAAGCAACCGTTGAACACATTAGTAGAATTAAAAGAAAAGAAAACAATAGACTAAACTAAAAACTCTGTTTTTTGACTGTTTTCTTCTTATTCTCAGGTTTGAAATATAGTGGTGCCATTTGTCTTCTGCGGTCTCTATCTCTGCACATTTTTACTGCGGTGAAACCTCACGACGCTGATAAATAACAAGCTTCAACTTTTCTTAGCAGGGCTCAGCATGACTGACTGCGCTCCCATAGTCTCTCCGAGAGAGAGTCCTCAGCTGTGAATCACTTGTGTTCGACACAACCCTATACGCTCACAAGCACACAGACACACACACACACAGTGCGTTAGTCTTTTACCCGTGAGGAGAGAGCGGAGCAGAGAAGATAATCCCTGAAACGTCGCCCCGCTGTCAAAGGTCAGCAGAGTTGAAAGGTCGCCCTCCACATCATTTATAGGCTCCTAAATAAGCCCCGGCCTCATGCTCCTGCCAACGCTCCCTTTTTCACGCAGTTATCAGACTCGGCAAGTTATGAATTATCAGATCTGAGGAAACATTGGAAGAGAAAGGGAGCATTGTGGGAAGAAGAAAAGACACGAGAGAGAGAGACGGAAAGAAAACAAATGCAGCAAAAGACAGACAAAGGTGGACTGGTCTTCTGCTCTTTAGTGTTTTATGGCATCAGTACTATACCATTTTACCATATCATTTCCACTTGATCTTTAGTAAGTCAATGTAAATATCATGAAGAAAGCATCTCTTTTGTTAACTAAACACATAAGGCAGTAGATGGATAATGGATGAGAATGGGTGTTCCCACACTCGTTTGCATGCTTACCTCTGCACCTGGACACTGGTGCCCACTAGCAGCTGTAACGAGGGCAACAACCAGGGGGAAACATGTCCATATAGCTGAGTAATTCTGAGCATCATTTTGTACTTCTTAGCATCTATCTTCCAACATTTTCAGTATTGTTTCACAACGCTTGTGAACATCTGTATGACAGACTCTTGGACTTTCCTTTCCTT